TAAGATACAGCTTAAGCGAGTGTCAATTAAACTTACGCACGCACTTGCGGGCGCAGTACTTATGTATGTGCATACACTGAGAGAAAAGTAAACTAATTAGGCATGCACTTAAGCTGTTGTCTTTTCGATTTTTTCACAAATTTTATTTGGTTTTACTTTAAAAAAGAGGATGCAATTTGAATTTAAAAATCAAGGCAAAAATTTAATATAATTCATTATTGGAACTTTCAGTTATCCTGTACTATAATTACTAATATAGAGCACTAGAAAACTGCAATACGTTATATATCACATTATAAGAAAGGTCAAGAACTAATTTCACAATCTTCAGAATGTAAAGATGGAAAATCAATTGAATTAATTGATTATTTATTTAAGTAGGAAATGCTGGTTTGTTTTTCTGAGTGTACGTATGTATGGATGTACTTATTACTTTAATGGAGGGCACACAATGATCACACACGAACACACACTCACACACTCGCAGGCGCACTTGCGCGTCCACAGGCAGAGTCATCTCTGCTCTGACACACAATGAACTTTGCCACCGTCTAGACAAATTAAGAACAGACAAATTCATACTCGTATAATAAATATGTCGCCAAAGTGCGCGCTCTAATGTTTAATTGTTTCATACTTGAGACTCGAAGCAAGAGAAGACCATATACTATGTCATATACACTGCATATACTACAAGTACACACATTTTTGAATGCCTGTGCGCACAATAAAATGAAAGCACTCCAAAAATGTACATATCGGCACATTGATTGCGATCTCATAGACCACATACTTATTATGAATAAATGGTACAGTGAATGCCTAGGATCGATTACTGTTTGCATGACCCCTTCTCGGCACTTCTCAAACCAATTAAGTCTGAGGAAGTCTGCTCATTGTGTTAAAATTAAGTTTCCAGTGCCTTTTTAATTTCCAAAGTAACTTATGAATGCCTAACAAAAATAAGTGGCATTCAAAGTATTATGATTTGACACAATTAGTGGCAATTAATATTTGTTTTCATAAAGAAATAATAAATTGTATTTAATTAAAAGGAGTTTCATGAAATATTTCAGGCAGAAAAATTATAAGAGTCTTTTTACAATAGCTTAAATATAACTTTCTCAAAAAGAAATCAAATCTGATGGAAAGCTGATTTAAAACTAAGCTGGCAAACATTTTGTGGCAAATTATTCTTAATACCTCAATTTAACAGACTTTTCTTCTAAAACAAACGTCTTGTATAATAACAGATATTTGTGTGCAAATTTTTAGCATATCTTCGTATATAGTATATACATTTATACAGGATGCGCCATCTTTTATGTCGGTAAGTAGATATTGAATAACTTTGTCAGTAGTGAACCGATTGACTTGAGTAGACCAGTGTTGAAAACCTCAGCTCAAGAAATTGTACATAACCAAATTAAATAAAAATATCTCATACTTGAAAATCGGTTGTTTATTTTCAAGGATATTCAATGTTTGCATGCCGACATAAAAGATGGCGCACCCTGTATATATATGAACATGCTCATTGGTGGGGTTTTTAGCGTGTATTATATGTTATACATTCAATATTTTAAATTATTTAATTAATGTGAATTATTTCCATCCCATTTTCCTATTTTATATTTTAGCACCAAAACAAAGTTGGCAGCTATAACAAAACGATTTCTGATTTAAAACTCAGCAGAAGGACGATAAATCATATTGGAAGGAAATAAGAAATTATGGACTAATTTGATTTAAATAATTGCTCTTTGTAGGCAGCCCCCACTGTATGTGTGCACATAGAGTGTCTGTCTGTCTATATTGACGACTTGTGGACCACATGGCGTATGTGCAATGTTTGACTTCTTTCTAGTGTGTGCCATAAGCGATAAGCGTCGTCAGCTTGTCTGGCCGATCGCGGGCCGCGTGCCAACTGATAGAGAAGTGTGTGATGTCATAAGTCAACATGTCAGCTGCGTGTATCGCTCAATGTGTGCGGGTATGTGTATGTGTGCGGGTATGTGTGTGTGAGTGTGTGCGTGTATGTGTGTGTGTGAGTGTGTGCGTTTCATTCGCATTGCTGTACGCAGGCTATTCGTTAATTAAAATATCAAGCGTGTACTTCATTAACATCGATGCCATCATCGAGTGTGATAAATTGTTGCGAAAACGACACCAAAAGTACAGGAAGAGAGAAGGTGGAGAATCAAAATGGAGGCAAAAGTTCTGCGGGAAGTAGGAGTTGAACGTCCATAATATTTACTTTATGATTTGTGGAAAGAGAGCGGCTCCAAAGCAACCCAACTCAGCATTGCTTTCCCATAGAAAAGACGTCACCTTCCGGACTGGATTCCATTTATTATTTACTCATCAGACAACCTTTCACATAAAAGTAAGTAGCTCTCTATTTAGATCCAGCGATTGATTATGGAAAAACGAAATGAAATATTCGCCACTGCCTATATACTCGTATGTAGTCTACACCACCCCCAAAACAACAACAACAACAACAGTAAAAACGGCAGCAATATCAACTGTGGAATGTCGCGTCAATTTGTCTGCCACAGTCGGCGGAGCAACAATCTCTGATCACATCTGCTGCGCAGGCGCGGAGACTTCAGCTGCGGCCATTCAGCGTTGATTTATTAATTAAAAGATTGGAGCGAATGCCGCAGCTTTTGTTTGCACATTTCTGACATCGATTTCAAAATATTCACATAAAATGAAAACATGTGCCAAGTATGCCGAATAATTAGTTATTTATAGTATTTTATATGTTCAATGACTTTGTAGAAATTTTTTATTGAAATCTTAATAAATGCTTATCACAAAAGTCACCATTTAAATTGAATTTAAGTGCAGATCGCATTTCTATTTATCACATTTCGACCCTATCCCCAGTTTGGGTTAAAAAATAAACTAAAGCAGCTCCATAAATAAAAGGATTATTCATTCATTTGTATTAATGCTATTCATAGACTAAGTGCCTACTTAGGAACAAACTCGCATTGTGTGATTCGCCTAGCTCGCTTAAGGAATTCTTGAGAAACGCTTTTAATAAAAACTAAACTAATAATAAAACAATCGCTTTATATATCGCTGTAATGTAATATAGAGACTAACGCACAAATTAAGACGGGAGTCCATGGGAATGCAAACGGAAACGGAAATGTTTCTAATCAGACGGGGAAGATCTCGGCGTGGGCAGTAGTCGCGTATAAGACTTAATTTAGGAAAGTGCGCTCAATTAATGAACTGTGCTTAATGCGTATAATGCCACTTAATGTGCAACTGCAACTAGAAAAACAGATTAATGCAGCGAAGGAGGAGGAAACACAGAAAAACAATTCCATAGAATTTCCCCACTTACTCATCGCCAGTCGCTGCAAATGCGCTTTAATTGTTGTTTTTTGTTGTTATTTTCAAAATAAATTGATAGCAGACGAAAATAGCACAGGCAAGCGATTGCGATTATTTAATAATTGTGCTAAATGCTTGGGAGACGATGTTTTTTATTTCTATTTATAATGTTTTTTTTTTCGTTTTGTTTTGTTTCAGCAATCAATTGTTTGCAAAATAATTATAGTACAGCGCTGCTCAAACGGCAGCTCGGCGAATGTAAATGTTTAACAATGGCACATATAAATATAAGTACTACAAGTATATCGCAAAATCAACAGCAGCAGCAACAACAGCAACAACAATAACAATGCAATTAGAAAAATATGCAACTAAGTGTCAGTTGTAAATTGAATGGGCGCGCGAGCGTTTTGGATTTTGCGAGCTGAGCTAAAAATAAAAACCGCGGCGAGGGCGGCAAAAAATACATTTACATTTTTAATTGCAATTATCGCTGCCAGCTGTTGTTGTTGTTATTGCTATTGTTAGTGTCGCTGCATGTACAGTGCAGTCTCAGTAGTTTTAAATAGTTCCCGAACATCGCGCTACATCGAATTCGAAACTCTAAAAGAAAGTCTTTTTCTAGCTTCAATGCTGGGTACTCTTAAAATTGTTAATTGTTTAATATCGATTGTAGACTCTGTAATCTGAACACCACTCCTTTTTTAAATGTACAGAGCCAACTCGACAGATCGAACAATTTAAGTTACATTTCCATAGTGGAGTTTCAATGTTGGGAGTACTTGAAATACTTTTCGAAGAGGTGCTTTAAAAATGTTGAAATGCAATTTTTGTAGAAACAGAATTGCGATCTCAGGTTGTTACTTATCGAAATCTACCCGGATGTACAGATATTCAATAAATTATACTGATGTCGACAATAAACTTTCTAATAATAAAATAATATTGCAACCTGTAAGAAAAGATGCCTACAAATCTACATAACTTTATATTTTGTTTTCTTCGTTCGGTTTTCGGTATTTCGGGCAGTGATTATATCGAGGCTGTACTGTGTATATATATTTTATATTAGTATCTCGGCTATTGCTACTGTTCGCGTGTGCTTTTTGTCTCGCTGCGAAAATGAACAATTAAAATGATTTATTAGCGTCACTTATTTTTTCTTTTGTTGTGCGAGCAGCAAGTTCAATGAATATTAAATAAAATATTGCATCTATTAATTCAGTTAAATTAACTGAGAATAACATTTCCTTTTCCTGCAGATCCGTATCTATTGAATTCCAATTCCAATTATCGCCAAAACAATTGATTGGATATCCAATTAAAAAGATTCTAGTGTAAAACATTTTGTTTCAAAACAAATTAAGGAGTCGAAGAAAATGTTACTCGATTAGGCGTTTCATTTCACTCAATTAATTTTCTGTTGTTTTGTTAAAAAATATCAGTTTAAAAAAGTAAGTTTGTTAGTGAGACGAAAGCAATGATTTTTGATAAACCTTTTCGTTTATTTATAATCAACAATCACAGACACAATAGTTAAACATTTACTTTCTACAAAAACTAAAAAACATCTCACAAAACTAACAATTCTCTGTTTTCAGCTATTTCCTTGGAAATTTAACTCACTTATTAGTGAGATACGCAATGAACCTCGTTTCGATTAGGACTAAAAATGCTTCATTCGTTAGTTATTCCAATTAACAATCACATACACAATAACTATACATTTATGCTTTACAAAAACTAATAAAGATTTTCTACAGAATTAGCAATTTTTTGTTCACAACTCTGCGGCTATTTCGTAACAAATTTGTTTAATGTGCTTCGCACTCGTTAAATTGTCATAAATGGATAGAAAAACTAATTGCCATTTTATGTTGTGCACGAGCACCAGTTTGCAGTTGTAGTTGTAGTTAAAATAAACATAAAGAGCAAAAAATATTTCCACTCGTATTAAAATGTTAATGAAAAAGTCGTAAAAATTCATGAAAATTAAGAGGGAAAATCGTAAAAGCTGTCATACCGTTATTAAACAATTCACTGCTAAACAAATTGCCGTCGGTGCTCGGTTCAATTGCCATTTTATGTAAAAGCTCATTTAGGAATCACATGTCTGTTTGTTTCTAGTGGAACGGCACGACCATGAAATGCAAGTCCATCACATTGGTGCCCGTGTGGCCGGTGAGGATGTGGAATTCTCCGTTGCATAATTTCTTGTAGAAATTGTAGCTATCACAATTCTGCACAACCTGGCGCAGCTCATCCAAAGTATTGCTCTCCAAATAGGTTTGAATGACGGCCTTGTCGCCAATAGCGCCGGCGGCATCGGTAGGGCCATCGATGCCGTCCGTGCCAGCGCTGAAGAAGCAGCACTCGCCCAGCGCCGGCTGTTTATGCAGCAACTCGGACATGAGCAAGGCTAAATGCTGACTGCGACCGCCTAGTCCTTGGCCAGAGACCTGCAAACGAAACATACGTATTCTATTACTGTTTCACAATAATTTTGAAAGACAGACCGTTATGACTGGCTCTCCACCAGCTATGAGAAAGAGCGGCGCCTTCGACTTCACATGCTGCTCCAGGACCTTCAAGAAAGCTGCGAAATTTTCCTCTGGATACGCAAAGCGATCCTGCAGATCTTTCTCTGCCAGCGTCTTATTCTTAAAGCCTTCAATGCTCAGCAGCAGACGCTCATAATCGGCTGCCACATTGCTGACAGGGCCCTGCACGGTGCAGCTGAGTATGCAGGGAATGTAGCCGAGCTCCTTGGCCTGATCAGCAGCCGCAGCGGCCGCCTTGACATTGCTGCCCACAATGAAGACGTGATTGTTCTCAGGCGGTCGGAGTTCATCTTCAGGTGGTGGCGTCTTAATAGCCTTTTGGATTTTGGGCGTAAGATCATTCCAGAGATTATATTTGCACAGCACATCGGTTGCTGACGCTTCGCCTTCCTTCGGAGGAATAGTTGGCCCGCTGGCAATCAAATCCAAAGGATCGCCGATTACATCGCTCAGCACAATTGTGACCAGCAAGTCGGCGTTGCGAGCTGCTCCTGCCAAACGGCCACCCTTGATGTCCGAACAGGCAATGCGCACAGTGTTTATCTCCTGGATGGTGGCACCGGCCTTCATCAGCTTGTTCGTTATCTGGCGCTTGTCGGACAGAACGAGGGGCTTCTTGGGCAGTGGCAGCAGCGCTGAGCCACCGCCCGAAATAAATACAATAAGCACATCATTGGATTTCATGCTCTTGGCCAACTTCTTGATGGCATTCGCAGCATTCAGAGACGCCTCATCCGGCAGATTATTCATAGCCCCTTCGTGTATCACCAGACGATTTTGACCAATGACGCAGCTGGAGTCCTTGATTTGCTTCAGTCCGCTTATCGGCACGCTCAGAACGCCGCCTGCCGAGTACTTTCCCAGGTCCCGATGCACCTTTGTAGCCATGCCCAGCACCGCCTTCCCGAAGCCGACTATGTGGCATCTTTTATTCGCTAAATCATAGTACCTGTTATCCAATTTAATAAAAACGCTTTCTTTAGCAACTTCTGGACGAAAGTCGAAGGATGGCGACTCAGCAAAGATCTTCTCGGGGTGTACAGCGCTCACGGCATGAGAGAATATCTGTCGCATGTGTTCCCAGGCTTGCTTTTTAGACATTTTTTTGTTTGTTTATTTGTGTAGCGGAAAATAGTGATGTAAGTCGAAATGAGAAGGTCGCGATGTTAACCAACATCGGCTGCACATATCGCATCAATGTTTAAAATTAATAACATACAAAATTTTTCAAACCGTGCCTTTTTTAAGAAAAAAAAACGAGTTTATGCGGCCTAACAACAACAGAAATTGTACTGCATTTTTAAAATTTAACTAAATTAAATTGTTCTCGAATGGACGTGGTCGAACTCTATTCGACACATCGATTGTATGTTTTTCCGTTTCGTGCACCACTACCCATTGATTTGAATTTAACGAGGTGGCAGCGCTCCCCTTGTAGTCGATAGTACCCTTGTCACAAACAGGGCTGCATCGTTCGGCTTATTATAAATATATCGCATTCAAATTCAATGAGTGCTGTCAAATAAGTGCTGGCAAATAAAAAAACGATATTTTCATATAGTACATAACTTACACAAATTATATGTTAAAGAATTTCCGGTAATGTGTTAATGTACACTATTTGATTGCATTGTTTTATGATAATTAAAACCAAATAAATTGTGTTAGTAATGAATTGCTAAACACTTAAGCATGTAAAGACGCTTTATAGCCGGGAAGCACTTCCTGGGATTCCCGCCTATTCAGTCAATTAGATATTTTTAACCCTGAATGAATAATTTCTTGTCTGTTGGCAGTCTACAAAACAATACGCAACGAAGAAATTGACTCTCATTGCTTGGGAAACTTACCCAAGATCCCCAAGCTCCACAGTAAATCGTACATCTATTCAATACTTTCATCTAAATGAATTCATTTACTCTTCTACGTGTCGTATACAAATTGTTTTAAATACTGAGTGAAAAACAGTATTTCTTATAATATTTCAATATATTTCTAGCATCAACTGATTGTTTGGATTTGCTTGAAGTTCAAGGTCTTGTTTTAAAATCTTTTATTTATAAATACTTTAATCTTTATTTAAGATCTGTCCTAGGTTGAACAATTATTAAATTTCATGATAACTTAAATCATGCTTCATTATTGTTTCGGGGTGATTCAAGCCGAGTGCCTAGTCGGGAACAAACCCACAATGTGGAATTACTGCTAGCTCGTTGACCTATGCCGGGCCCCACCTTTATTCGTTGGGAAATTCTTTTTTTTTCTAATTATTTAGACAGCTGGAAGAATATTTTTACATAAAGGTGTTTGTTCTAAATTGTGTATTTAACGATCTTCATATAAATATTTTAATAGCATTTTTTATCTTTTTGGTTAGTGCATTTGCACGTTTTTTCGACCTGATAAGCGGGGCCTTAAAAAGCGGCCGCTTTCGACGCGCTGCCAACAGTCACCTCGGAGGGTTCTGACAGAGCAGCATTAGACCTTAAAATGAGAGCAACGGTGTTCCTTATAATTGGTAAGCCACAAACTTTAAAGGTAGCAGGACGAGAGAGTAAGCTGCTTTCCCTTCTGATTTCTGACAGCCTACTGCGTGTATGCCGAAGCACAAATTGGGCCATGTATTGTTGACACAGGGGATTGTCCCAGCGAGAACGTCGAGTTTTGGCTCTACTCTAAGTAACTTGAATTGAAATTAGTTCCCTTCCCTCATAATAATTTTGAATAATTTCCCAGTGAAACACGGGATTCGCCAGTGCTGCTAGACCCGCTGGATTTGAATCCGAGCGACTTCGAGCCACCGCGCCCGATCGAAATTCTAATACATGGCTACACTGGCCACAGGGACTTCGCCCCCAACTCCAACGTACGTCCTGCCCTGCTCGATCACGAGAATGTCTACGTTATTTCCGTTGACTACGGCCCTTTGGTGCGAGAACCCTGCTACCCACAAGCCGTGGAGAATGTGCCGCTGGTGAGCAAATGTCTCGCCCAGCTCATCAACAATCTACTGGATCGTGGAATTTCTCAGAGCGATCAACTGCACATTATTGGCTTCAGTCTGGGCGGGCAAGTGGCCGGACAGACGGCAAATTATGTGACGGAAAAGCTCCACCACATAACTGGCTTGGATCCGGCCAAGCCAGGTTTCATCACGAAGCCTGATACAGAACGATTGGATGCCTCGGATGCGAAGCTCGTCGATGGCATACACACCGACGTTTTGGCTTTTGGCATGCTCGGCTCCTTGGGGCATGTGGATTTTTATCCCAACAACGGAGCTTTACAGCCGGGCTGCATTGAAGATACGATAGCTGCTGCTAACTTTAGCAACTGCAATCATAATCGCGCGCCTATCTACTATGCCGAGTCCATATATTCGGAGAAAGGATTTTGGGGACGTCAATGCATCGATGGCATCGGAAGTCTCTTGGATCCATGTTCCGAGGACACCCCAGAGGCTCTAATGGGCTATCATGTGTCGCGCGATGCACGCGGCGATTACTATCTCAGGACAGCGAGTGATTCTCCTTACGCCTTGGGTCGAGACGGCGAATAAAAGAATGCGCTTGATGGATAGCTTCAGAAAATATTTTAAATAAATAATGTATGTATGTATCAGAGTTTCAAAGCTGTAAGAAAAGCTCTTCATTCTAAATGTCAACCAATTGGATTTTCAAGAAAAGCAACTAATATTTCAGTCTTGATACATGGAACCATTTGTCCGAATCCACGATATTCGACTAATGATAATTGGATGAGCATCTAATAAAGAAAAACACATTGTGGTCCTGGCTAGTCAAGACCATTCGATTATACATAGCTATATTTGTTTGAATTTCGACTACTTTGAAAAGCTTAATTTTCCTGATCTAAAATAATTTGTGTTGCCCTTTATCCTTTGGTACAGAGTAAACAGCAAAAGCATATGCTTTTATGAATTTCCGCACTGTTCCGCTTTCGTTTCTACGGATATATGCAAAAATATAGCATTCATTAATATAATAATAATATTTAGCCCCCTTGAGATAAATCATTTTCGAAGCAGAAAGGTACGAGTTTTCCAAAATGTGCTTAGATGTGCATTATCACACATCAATCAAGTTCATCAATCAATCTTTGGAGTTAGCAGAATCTGGATATTCTGGCTCTTATACTTTCTGACATCCTTGCACTTATGCGTATGGACGCAAAGACTGATGGACAGACGGACATGGCTATATAGAATCGTCTTGTCATGCCGATCTAGAATATACACATATATAGCTGTGGGGTCTGCCACGCCTACTTCTGTGTGTTAGATAAATTCTTTACATATCTCAGGTTCAGGGTTCAGGGCGTAATTAACTTGAAATATGAGGTATACAAAAATATTAGAAAGTTCCCAAACTCATTGTTCAGATACTTATTAATGTAACTAGCAGACATGTGATTCATCTTATAGAATGGTCTTTTACTTGTATTTACGCTTTTACCAGTCGTATACAGATTGTTTCAAATATTGTTTTTCACTTATTAATTCTTAAAATATTTAAATGAATTTCTATCATTAATTTTTTGTTTGGATTTGTTTGAACTTTGAAGTGGAAGTTCAGGGCCATATTTTAAAAGCTGTACTTTTATTTAGTGGAAAATTTTGTTTTTCAAATTTGTTTAGGCAGCTGCGACAATATTTTACATAAAAGTGTATTTAATGTATACGATCTACTTGTATATATAAATATATTTGTTATATTTTCATTGCCTGACCCATTTTGTTGATTTTTGGTAAGCACATTTGCACATAAGCCGAATTTTCGATCCGATAGGAGGAGGCTTTAAAAAGCAGCCACTTTCGACTCGTTGCCAACAGTCGCCTCAGGGGCTTCTAAGAGACGTTAAAATGAGAGCAGCACTGTTCCTTATAATTGGTAAGCCACAAACTTTTACGAAAGCAGGACTAGAGAGTAAAGTGCTTTTCCTTCTGATTTCCGACAGCCCACGTTTACTGCGCGTTCGCCGAACCGGAAATCGGGCCATGTTTTGTTGACACAGGGGATTGTCCCAGCGAGAACGTCGAGTTTTGGCTCTACTCCAAGTAACTTGAATTGAAATTAGTTCCCCTCCTTCACAGTAATTACGAATAATTTCCCAGGGAAACACGTGATTCGCCAGTGCTGCTAGACCCGCTGGATTTGAATCCGAGCGACTTCGAGCCACCACGTCCAATTGATATTCTGATCCATGGCTTCACTGGCAACCGAGACGCCACTCCCAACTCCAACGTACGTCCTGCCCTGCTCGATCACGAGGATGTCTACGTTATTTCCGTCGACTACGGTCCCTTGGCGCCAGCGCCCTGCTACCCACAAGCCGTGGAGAATTTGCCGCTGGTGAGCAAATGTCTCGCCCAGCTCATCAACAATCTACTGGATCGTGGAATTTCTCAGAGCGATCAACTGCACATTATTGGCTTCAGTCTGGGCGGGCATGTGGCCGGACAGACGGCAAATTATGTGACGGAAAAGCTCCACCACATAACTGGCTTGGATCCGGCCAAGCCAGGCTTCATCACGAAGCCTGATACAGAACGATTGGATCCCTCGGATGCGAAGCTCGTCGATGGCATACACACCGACGTTTTGGCTTTTGGCATGCTCGGCTCCTTGGGGCATGTGGATTTTTATCCGAACTACGGAGCTGCACAGCCGGGCTGCCTTCTAGAGAATCCTTTCACCTGCAATCATAATCGCGCGCCTATCTACTACGCCGAGTCCATATATTCGGAGAAAGGATTTTGGGGACGTCAATGCATCGATGGGCTCGTCGGTCTCTTGGATCCATGTTCGGAGGACACCCCAGAGGCTCTAATGGGTTATCATGTATCACGCGATGCGCGTGGCGATTATTTCCTCAGGACAGCGAGCGATGATCCCTACGCCTTGGGTCGAGACTCTGGAGAAAACAATGTGATTGGGGGAACTCTACAAGATATTACTGGTATATTGTAGTCACTTTTAAATTAATAATGTATGACACAATATGTGAGGAACGAATTGCATTCTCAAGAAAAGCAAATAATATATCAGTCACACATTTGATAATTTCATGAGCATCTAATAAAGAAAAACGCATTGTGGTCCTGGCTAGTCAACGTCGCCATTCAATTCATATACAAAACTAAATTGGTTTTATTTTGGACAAGAACTTCCTTTTCCCTTCCAATAATAACTTGTATATCCTTTTATCGTTTGGTAAAAAGTGAACAACATTTGCTAGCACTATTCCACTTTCGTTTTCAGGCATATACTTGTATATGCACAAAGTAAAATTCCTTTATATTTCACCTCCTTCACCTCCTCCTGTTCTGTGCAGCTTTTAGGTATAGAGAGGAAAGGATTGTCCAGAATGTCCTTAAATGTGCATTGAGCACAAATCAGTCCAGCTGCCTTTCTTGCTGTCATATCTCGAGAAAGCATGCATGATGCAACTAAATGCGATTCTTTTTGATTAGCCCTCGCAGAACGAATTTGAAAATATTGAGGATTTCATGGCAGCTGACATGCCTATTTCTAAGAACTGCTAATATTTTGATTAAACTTGTGCACCATTTTTTCAAATAAACAATAAGTCCACGACTGTAGACACGTACTTTCGTTTATTGGTCCCAGATTTTAGGTCAGCACAGTAATCGACTTAAAACCTTGTGAGTAAGCATTACATAGATTTGTTCACTATTTATATTAGAATTAGCTTTAAGATTTCCAATAAATAAATTACTTATACAAGTATAGTATGTAGATATTCAAAAATCTTATGACGATTACCAAACTCTACATTAAACAGTATACTTTTTTCCAAAGTTATTAAAAACGAGCAGACAGAATCGTTTGGATTTGCTTGAACTTTCAGGCCCTATTGCAAAATCTGTATTCAGTGGGAAATTGTGTTGAATTTTCGATAGGAGGAGGCTTTAAAAAGCCACTTTCAACTGGTTGCCAACAATCGCCTCAGAGGCTTCTTAAAGGCGTTAAAATGAGAGCAGCACTGTTCCTTTTCATTGGTAAGCCCCAAACTTGTAAGCAATCATAACTAAAGAGTAAAGAGCTTTTCTTTCTGATCTCCGACAGCGCATGCATATTGCGAGTACACCGATCCAGCAGCTCGATCCTGTTTTGTTCTGGAAGGGGATTGTCCCAACGAGAACATCACCTTTTGGCTCTACTCCAAGTTATTTGAATTGCAATTAATTCCTTTCCTTACCAGTAATTTGAATAATTTCCCAGGGAAACAGGTGATTCGCCAGTGCTGCTAAACCCCCTGGATTTGAATCCGAGCGACTTCGAGCCACCACGTCCAATTGATATTCTGATCCATGGCTACACTGGCCACCGAGACGCCCCTCCCAACGCCTACGTACGACCCGCCCTGCTCGATCACGAGGATGTCTACGTTATTTCCATCGACTTCGGGCCCTTGGTGCAGAGCCCCTGCTACCCGCAAGCCGTACAGAATGTGCCGCTTGTGGCCAAATGTCTGGCCAGGCTCATCGACAATCTGTTGGACCGTGGAATTGCTCAGAGCGATCAACTGCACATCATTGGCTTCAGTGTGGGCGCGCATGTGGCCGGGCAGGCGGCAAATTATGTGAAACGAAAGCTACAGCGCATAACTGGCTTGGATCCGGCCAAGCCGCTCTTCTCCTTAGCCGGTGACACACAACGCTTGGATCCCTCAGATGCAGACTTCGTGGATGTCATACACACCGACGCCTTACTTCTAGGCATGCTCCGCCCCCTGGGGCATGTGGATTTTTACCCGAACAACGGAGGCTTCCAGCCGGGTTGCCATCAATCTTATTTTTTTAATGCTAGCAGATGCAATCATGATCGTGCGCCTCGCTACTATGCCGAGTCTATATATTCGAAGATGGGGTTTTGGGGAGGCGAATGCGCCGTGGACGCCATCGAGTTTGATCTGGACCGCTGTTCGGGGGACTCACCACAGGTTCTGATGGGATATCATGTGCTCCTCAATGTGCGCGGCTCTTACTATCTCAGGACAGGTAGTAAGTATCCCTACGCCTTAGGAAAAGCCCCCCATGTGTTTAATGAATATCTAGAATATCTAGAAAATCCTGATGATATATTTTATTCAAATTTAATTTATTAATAAATGTTGACACTAATTGTTATTTAAGCTGAGTTTCATAAATAAAGGGGACTTTTTAGGCAGCTGTGACAGTATTTTTGCATAGCGGTGTATTTTTTTGCAGATACATCTGCTTGTTTCTAATTATTTATAAATATTATACCAACTATTTTTCATATTTTCACTCTCTGACCCAATTTGTTTCTTTTTGGTTAGCACATTAGCTCATAAGCTACGGTTGCCGGTAAAAAAAAACGTCAGAATGTGTGGGTGTTTATGTAAGCCGCCTTTTCGATCTGATAAGGGGGGGGCTTTAAAAAGCGGCCGCTTTCGACGCGCTGCCAACAGTCACCTCGGAGGCTTCTAACAGAGCAGAATTAGACGTTGAAATGAGAGTAGCGCTGTTCGTTATAGTTGGTAAGCCACAAACATTTTAGAAAGCAGGACTAGGGAGTAAAGGGGGTTTCTTTCTGATTCCTGACAGCCCACGTTTACTGCGCGGCCACCAATCCGATAGTTGGCTTATTCGATCCGGCCTGTTTCGTGGTCAGAGGAGATTGTCCCAACAAAAACATCACCTTTTGGCTCTACTCCAAGTAATTTGCACTGGAATTACTTCCCACATTAGTTCTCACATTAATTTTGAATACTTTTCAGTGAAACACGTGATTCACCCGTTCTGCTGAACCCGCTGGATTTGAATCCGTGGGACTTCCAGCCACCGCGTCCGCTCAAAATTCTAATACACGGCTACACGGGCTACCGGGACTTCGCCCCCAGCTCCACCATTCGACCCGCCCTGCTCGACCATGAGGATGTCTACGTTATTTCCATCGACTACGGCCCCTTGGTGCGGGATCCCTGCTACGTACAAGCCGTACAGAATGTGCCGCTGGTGAGCAAATGTCTGGCCCAGTTCATCGACAATCTGCTAGATCGTGGGATTATTCAGAGCGATCAGCTGCACATCATTGGCTTCAGTCTGGGCGGGCAAGTGGCCGGACAGACGGCAAATTATGTGAAAAGAAAGCTACAGCGCATAACTGGCTTGGATCCGGCCAAGCCGCTCTTTATCTTGGGCAGTAATAAGCGACGATTGGATCCCTCGGATGCGGACTTCGTGGATGTCATTCACACAGATGTCTTAGGTCGTGGCATGCTTCGGACCATGGGGCATGCCGATTTCTATCCGAACTTTGGACCCGCACAGCCGGGCTGCCTTGAAGAGAATCCTAACGATCCTGGGAGCTGCAATCATGATCGCGCACCGCGCTTCTATGCCGAGTCCATATATTCGAAGAAGGGATTCTGGGGACGGAAATGCGCCAATTGGTTCGTACATGTTCTGGGTCTCTGTCCGGGGGACGCAGCTGAGGCTCTGATGGGCTATCATGTGCCCCTCGATGTGCGCGGAGCGTACTTTCTTAAGACAGGGAGCAAGTCGCCCTACGCCTTGGGCCACGCCCCCAAAACAAACAATTCCAAATTCCTGTCGCAACTGAGCCTTGATTCCAAGCAAAACGAGATCGATCGTGACTACGAGCCCCAGCTCCATCGCACTCTACTGAAGCTCAGGCCCTTCGAGGATGATGTGTTGGACGAGAAGCTGGAGAATCTTAGCTTGTGATATATTCAGTCAATTGAAAACTAATAATCTAGATAAGTACTAATATAATTCTAGAATTTATTACTAATTAAACACTTCACTAGAAAAATACAAAAGAAATTTAATTGATCTAAAATGAAGTCTTAAAACAAATGTCCCTTCTGCCTTCATTTAATTGAGATATATTCAGAGAGTTAGTTTTCAAGTGTTTCGGCGTCTGAACTATTGCTGTAAAATGTATATTTATTTCCGAAAGTGCTTTCAATTTTTTCTGTGTCCGATTTCCGTTACATTGCTTAGTTCCACATAGCGCTCCACAAACGCCACCCGCACAAAGGTTCCACTGACCTTGAACTACTTAGAAATGGCTTAGAAACCTTGAATCCTTATCAGTGTTTTGTGTGCAACCTTCGTGTGTTATATGGGCGCTCATTTTCAATGCACTTTTCAAGGTTGTGCCAAAAAGGTTTATAGAATCAGCGCGCTCAGTGCACGATACAAAGCATTATAGATCGTCGTGCTGTGGCAAGCCATGTTGAGACTACGGATCGAACTAATTCTCCTAACGCTCTTGTCAGGCAGTCTTCTCACAAAGGCGCAAGTTTTCCTTCCCGAACTGTGTGTATTCGCCGAACAGCACTGTCCAAATTCGCGAATTAGTTTCTGGTTGTACAAAAAGTGAGTAATATATGCATTTCTTTGCGTCTGATGTCGACTTTCTTTCGTGCCGAAAGGTATATAATCGGATGAGAAAAAGTGTTCTATTTAAGCTAAGAATGTTAATAGCTATAATATTTGATGAGCTCGATTTGGAAAATTTCGGTGTACTCCAACAATATATAATAACTATAAGGAATATAAACTTACTATATATACGATCGTGTTTAGAGGCTATGAGCTTATATAGAATAACTGTCAAGTTTAGAGCTGTCGTTTTAAGAAGACTTCCTTTCACTGCAAATTAATAATCAATAAGACCCATAGGGAATATATACAATTCGTTAAATAAACTGTCTTAAATGAGGTTAAAATTAGTCGACCCCGCATCCAATCAGGTCTCTCACACGATCTTCCCTCATTTTCTAATAATAACATCACTTTACAGCAACACTAGGGAGCAGCCCACGCTGCTGGATCCGCTCAACCCGCTGGCTCAGCACTTTGAGCCGCGCCTGCCTCTCAAAATACTCATACATGGCTTCATCGGGAATCGCAGTCTCACGCCGAATCTCGAGGTACGCGATGTGCTCTTGCAATCGCAGCCCGTCCATGTCGTATCCATCGACTATGGCAGCTTGGTGCGTTGGCCCTGCTATTATCCTTGGGCCGTGCAGAATGCGCCCATTGTGGCCAAGTGCTTGGCACAGTTTGTCGATGGACTGCTGGATGCTGGCATTTACACACGCGACCACATACACCTGATCGGCTTCAGCTTGGGCGCCCAGGTGGCCGGCATGTCGGCCAATTATCTGAAGCGCAAGCTAAAGCGCATAACGGGCCTCGATCCGGCGGGACCCGGCTTCATGACTGCCTGGTCGCATGAGAAGCTGGACAGCAGCGATGCGGACTTTGTGGATGTCATACACACCGATCCGTTCTTCTTTTCCTTGCTGCCGCCCATGGGTCATGCGGACTTCTACCCCAATCTGGAGCACTTCAACCAACTGGGCTGCAGCTACGTCAGCAAATGGCGATTCTATAACTGCAATCACTATCGCGCCGCCATCTACTATGGCGAGTCGATTCAAAGCACCCGTGGCTTCTGGTCCCAGCAGTGCGGAGGGTGGCTCGACTTTTTCCTGCATCGCTGCAGCCGTTACTCGCACATGTCCGACACTCAAATGGGCTACTTTGTTTCAGAGAAGTACTACGGGAGTGGCAGAGAGGGTATATTTGTATAATACTGAGCGCTTCTTTCTTTTCTCGTTTTATTGCAGCGCCACCGGCTCCTACTTTCTGACCACCCACGAGGAGGCACCATTTGCCAAGGGACCGCTCATCGATTTCGAAATGACAGTCATTGGAGTTTAATTAAATAAAGTCGGCTAAAATGTTGAGAGACTTCTTTGTTACTATTTTAATATTTTTAAAGCTTGAACAAATTTAATATTTACGCCCTTAGTCGATTATTTTTGTAAAGCCCTAATAAATCCGTCACAAAGTGTTTCGACTGGTCTTTCGTAAATTTTGAGAGACTTCTTTGTTACTCATTTAATATTTTTAAAGCTTGACAAAATTTTATATTTACGCCCTTAGTCGATTATTTTTGCAAAGCTCTAATAAATCCGTCACAAAGTGTTTCGACTGTACAAAAAGCGAAGAGCTTTCAATTTGGTTATAATTTTCGGAGCTTTCGCAAACTTTTGCCCCAAACGAAAGACTTCAGACGCGAACTGGCGCCGCAGTTGCTCGTCAGCGCGCGCAAGTATCGCACGTTTTTGTGGCTCCCAGAAAATCAAGTTGTGTGCACGAAAGCAACAACAACAAACAGTTGAAAGAAAACGAAAACAGTGTGCTTTTCAATTTACGGCGCGTGCCCGGAGCCAATATAGTTGAATTAAATCATTGAACGCGGCCGGAATTATGCGTAGCCGTCGCCAGCGTGTCGTGCATTGAGATCGAGTCCAATGACCAGCATCGCGGCTGGTCTCTGAAAAGTGGCCAAAAGCCGAAAAGGCATTTGCATTTTTTCTTTTGGCAAACAGAGTGCACGTCAGTCGCAAACCTTGACCTAGAGCAAGGGCTCGAAGTATTGTACGGCTTGTTGCTGCACTCACTTGTGTTTTGAAAAAGTCCAATTAACCCAAATTGCAGTTAACCTCTTGGCCATAAAACCATAAAGCTTGCTTTTTAAATTTAAATTCGTGCTCGTTAAATACATATTGCAATTTAAATTTGACATCAATTGTCGAGTGTTCAGTGCAAAGTGTTTCCAAAAACATAAAATACATAAAATGTTTCATTGCCTGTGGCTGCTGGAAGCTACTTTTGGGTCAAGAAACACGCTCCTGCTGCTCCTACTCGGCTTGTCCCTCAGCAGTTACCTTGTGAATTTCGCCGGTTCGTATTAAAACACTGCCCCCATCCAAAAAAAAAACACTAAAATCATCAAAATTTCGGTTAAACTTTTACTTTCGCCCTGACACCCGATTCCATGCTTCAATGGCTCGCTTGCCTTTTTCTTTGCTTTAACTTTAACTTTAACTTTGCCTTTCTTTTGAGCCGACGTCACTGCCATTGTTGTTGTTGTTATTGTTGTTGCCGCTGCTGCCTGACTCTTCTTGCCTCAAATTAACAGCATTTTTTGGCCAAACCGCGCCTCTCGCCACCTGTTGACACTTTAAATTTACGCGCGTTGTGTAAAAATATCACCATAACCAAGAAAGCCTCGTCATAAAGTTCGCCATAAACCACAATAAGTTACGCAATGCTGGGCAGCACTTAATTCTGCAATTCAATCCAATATCGAACGACCTTGCTTCACATCCGCCCAATACCTGAAAAACCATAACAAGTGCTGATTTTTCGCAAACATAGTGTTTGTCTTTCGGCAATTCAGCGGTTAACGCTCCCAGACAAACCACACTGCACACTGCTTCGAGGTTGCCTTTTAATTATTCGTTTGTTTTTTTTTTTGTGTGCTCTATTCTGAGAATAAAGATATGCAAAAAAAAAAATATTCCATAAAGTCTGCAGCAAGATAATTGGCTATAAAAGCAAGTGATTAAAAAAAGAATAAAATTTTAGGTTATAGTGGTGTTTATCTGAACTTTTACAGAATTTACTCAATTTACTTCAATGTGACCTCTGAGTCTAGTCTTCAGTGGACAGTGAAGGAATTTTATATTATTTGAAAACATTTTAAAATATATTATGAAGTTTATTTTTTCATTTCTTGGTAATTGTTTGGGATTACAGTACTATCTACAAAGGTGACTCTGTGGTTACTCTAAGCATCTAAATCATGGATCAATCAATAGAAGATATTTATTTTAGAATGTATATGAAGTTTCTTAAAAAAAATTAGTAAATTAATAAAAGACTTTCTTTCTATGCTTGATAGAGTGTTGAGGCGTTTTATTCCGCCAAGTCAATCTCTGTATAATTTTTCTTAGCAAACATTTTCGATTGAAAAAAAACAATGATTTGTTAAATTATTTATTCATTTATCTATGCTCTTTCTTAACAAGATTCGTCTTTCTGCTTGTGGCTCAAAAATAATGAATAACTTAATAATACTTTCTAAAAATCATTATATAATTTTTATCATTCTGTTTTGTTTAGTTTTACATTGGACATATTAAATAATAACTTTTATGTAAATCAACGTAAATCAATCATGTTTTAGCGGATTCTCTCTTGATTCTTTATAAGCAGAGCTAAAGCCTGCTTCCTGATGTTCTACCTTTTAATATTATTGGCTCATTAAGGAATGGTATGAATTATTATCTTTATAAAATATGGATTTTATCGGCCTTGACAAATTATAAGAAAATATTTATAGGTACGAGCAATATTTTAACAATTTTGATTTTAAATATATTTTAAATTAAAAAGCGATATTTACAATTATTGAACTACTCTCCATTTTTAGTAAGATGACAAAACATTTCTGTTCGTTGGGAGTTGAAAGAAAGATTTAAATGTAATGTGGAAAAATATTCCAATTAAGCCTTCAAAAGTAAATCTAAAACACGGTTCTTGTAATAGACAATTTTAGCATTCCTATTTCTTATATGTGTAATTAACATTATGGCTTTGGCCGATTAAAGCCATTTTTTTTTTTTTTGCAGTCTGACTGCAACTTTAATTAACAGATTCTTGCAAGCCTGAAACTAATTGCTTATGCAAATACTCGTATAAATAAGTAAACAATCTGAATCACTGTGCAGGCCAACGGGTCCAACATAATTGAAATTGAATTTGAAATTCGCAAAGCAACAAAAAAATCTGGATTTGTTTGCGCATATTCAAGTGTCACTCGTGGCTACCGTAACAAATGGTCAAGTCTCTCTTGGCCCGCATTTGTTTTGGGCCCAATTCGTTACACATATTTGGGTGAAATTTCTGGCGTCTCGTAAACAAACCAAAACTTAAGCTGCTTCATCGAAAACGCTGCCTCCTCATATCATTTAATGTGTGCGCTGATGCATTGAACCACATACATAAATAAGTATATACTAAACTTTATTTTTAATTCAATTCACCCAACTATGCCTCATAATTATGTACATATGTATAACAAATGCTTAATGTTTGTGTGTCATAATACGGCGCCCACCTTGACACTCTTCGTTTTGCAATAATTACTGCTTAACATTTGTATATAAGCCCCCTCAGTTCCTCTCCCCTACCCGGCCCATTACTGTTGCTGCCGTTGACGTGTTCAAAGAGGTGTCTTCAAAATCGTAACTACAAGTGCCTCCAAATGGAGCGTGTTGCGTGCCGCCTGGTGTCTGGTGTCATCGTCCCGAGGTGTGGCTTTCGGATTTTGTAGCATTGAAGAGACTTGAGGCCGACTCACAAGTTCTCATTAGCGAGCAATTGCATGCCATTAATTAATAGTAACCAAGTGTATTGTTATTTATTGATGAGAACCTATGGGCATTCGGATTGCTGACTTTAAATACATTTATACATACATATCAGTTTGACGAAACACATACATTCAGACATGTCCATTTGCCCGTCCGTCTGTATGAACCTCAAGATTTTATAAACCATTACAGCTAGTTGAACTAAACTTTGTATATAGACTTTCCTCATCCATACGCAAATCAAGTTTATTAGAAACAAACATACATACATATCAGTATGACGAAACGAATACATTCAGACATGTCCATTTGCCCGTCCGTCTGTATGAACCTCAAGATTTTAAAAACCATTACAGCTAGTTGAACTAAACTTTGTATATAGACTTGCCTCATCCATACGCAAAGCAAGTTTATTAGAAACAAGCATACATACATATCAGTATGACGAAACGAATACATTCAGACATGTCCATTTGCCCGTCCGTCTGTATGAACCTCAAGATTTTATAAACCATTACAGCTAGTTGAACTAAACTTTGTATATAGACTTGCCTCATCCATAGGCAAAGCAAGTTTATTAGAAACAAGCATACATACATATCAGTATGACGAAACGAATACATTCAGACATGTCCATTTGCCCGTCCGTCTGTATGAACCTCAAGATTTTATAAACCATTACAGCTAGTTGAACTAAACTTTGTATATAGACTTGCCTCATCCATACGCAAAGCAAGTTTATTAGAAACAAGCATACATACATATCAGTATGACGAAACGAATACATTCAGACATGTCCATTTGCCCGTCCGTCTGTATGAACCTCAAGATTTTATAAACCATTACAGCTAGTTGAACTAAACTTTGTATATAGACTTGCCTCATCCATAGGCAAACCAAGTTTATTAGAAACTGTATAGAGTACCCACATTATTTTATATAGCTGACTGGAACTGATCGGTGCAGAGATCTCTCTTTTTTCTTTATAATGAGATCGTGAAAAAATTCGACATTAATGAGTACACCTAATTCTGTTTTTACACCGTAGATTGGTTCCAGAAACAACCGTACAAAAAAGATATTGATCATATGCAAAAATGGGTGATTGGTTCCATATCTCTAAAGAAATATATATGCAATTTTTAATTTTTAAACCGTGTTATATCAAAATCGTGTAAAAAGAGAAACAGAATTAGATGTATTGAATAGTACGTCATGATATATTCCGAAGTCTCTTCAAAATCAATGCACTATATCATAAAGCTGCCATAGAAAGGATTTCATACTAAGTTGTCACATGAATCCTTCTTAAAAACAATTTTCGCATGTAGCTGCTATAGTAACAAGATGTCAAAAAGATAACAATTCGATATTAAATCATTTTCCAGAGAGTTCGACACATTGAAGCTTTTTCATATTTCTCAGACACTTCATTCAAATGAAAATTGATTGGATGTCAGAAATTTGGTTCCGCCTTGTCAGCAAAATATTTCTTTACTTCCCGTAGAATTAACCTCATAACTGAAATTATGTGAGCGAGGAAAATGTGACTTCAATTCAATTTTGAGTTGCAACCAAGACGTAGAGTCTTCGAAAACTGTAAGCCATCGTGCTATTAATTCGGACACTAACAATAACAATTGTTGTTATGCAATTTCCCATTGGCCTGCCTCTCTGGCCAATTAAGCAACCATCTCAGTATAGGCAACCACAACCACAACCACAACAACCACAACAAACAATCGAAGTGACTCACGCAGAGGCATGCACATTCGGAGAGACACAAAGACCTAAAAACAAATAAAACGGAATTAAATGGAAAGCAAAATCATGAGCCAAATGGTTGGCCGAAGAGTCGAACATTGGGAATAAACCAAAACCAACGACGATAACATCTCTTGCTCTCTCACAACGACCACACAACAACAACAATGCTCGATGATGCGCACAACAACAAGTTGTTGTTGTTGCTGTTGTTGTTGTTGTTATTGCTACAGTTGTTGTACTTTCTGTTGTTGTCGCAGCTGCTTCGTCTTCCGCATTCGCTTCCGTTTGGTTTTCTGGAAGCAGCACCGCCGAGGCGCCAACATTTACTCGAAACTTTTGCGTTTTTCATTTTCATTTCTATTACTTTGCACATTTTCCGGCCCCACACATTTCAATACACACATGGCTATATGTGTGAGTGTGTCTGTGTGTGGGCAGGTAGTGTGGATTTGACAGTTGCAGCAAAATAAAAGCCAAAACATTTAATCGGCGCTCGATCCCCTTTTGGCATCCGTAATGCGGCATGCATGGAATATTGGGGCGCACAGTGGCCGGTTTTGGAAAATTTCAACTCAAAATGGACAAAACTACAGAGAACTTTCAATGTTTTGAGGGAAAACAATTCAAAAACTGCAAAAACAAAAAAAACAAAATTTAAGTTCATGTAAATAAATAGGCTTGTATCTGTAGTAAGTTATGTTCAAAATATTACATTGCTTGTTGTTCAAAGACTTACCCAGTTCATCATTTGCTTAAAAAATTAAACTTACTTATATTGTAAAGAATCTTCTATGTATATAGTGCATAATACATAAGTATAGTATATTAGTTAGGTTAGGCTATAGAAAAGCCTCTGAAGCTTTGCTTCTTCAGTATGAATAATTTTTCCAATATTAATAACTGCAAATCGTTTAAACTTTGAATTGTATATCCACAATGACCATGGAAAACTTTTAAATTTTCGAAAGCATTTATATTTGGCAAGCAACGTTCTGCATTCTGAGTCCTTTGTTGTATGTTTATTGTTCATTATTATGGCTTTATATGGCAAAATGTCGTTTTAGTCCAAGTTAGCTGGTCAGGCGATGGAGTTAGACTTGACAAAAATAAATTAAACTGAGCGGTAATCTAAATGTTAATATTTATAAAATGCATTTCTTAGCACTCTAATAGTTAGCATAGCTAGAATTGTGTGTAGACTCTATTTCTAGCAAAATTCTAACACATTAACAAACTGCGTTAAACATAAAAATAAATCGGAGACGAATAGTTTCCTTGATTCGCCTTTTTTAGGAAGCTTAATAGGAAGCCAATTTTTGTGTATAGTTGTTCAGTTGTTCATGTTCAGAAAAATGCTAGAAAGTCGCCTTTAACATAAGCATTAACCATGCTTCAAACAGAAGTCCACTCTAGACAAACATTTGTGTATATACTGTAATATTATTCTAGAAAGGTGCCCCTTTAAAAAGTAGACCAACGTGTTCATTATTTGATTGAATTCTTAAACAATCTCCTGCTAGACCTAAATAAATGAATCTTCGTCTGCAGTAAAATTGAAAAAAGGCGTTTAAAACAAACAGAGCAGTTATGTATTTATCTCTCTGGCTCTCCATTTAATACAATTGTTTCTCAACTGAAGCGCGCAAGCAGATGTGAATTTTCGCCAGCTTGTTGGCAATAGCGAGCCACTGTGGAGCGCTTATATAATCAGGTGGCTTACACAGATAAGAAATTGTGAAAAACGCCAATGCATGTCTCTCTACTATATATCTTCGTTTATAGCGACAATTGAGGCATGACTGGGCTGGGTGGGGCAGCAGAGAGGAGGGAGGCAGAGCAACGCTAATTGTGCTGGTTTTTCGGGGCCTAACTAACTCTGAGATGCAGCCATATGAAATGGAAAAGCTGACTGAATTATGTTGGCTGACAATATACGCGTAACAACCATTCGAGTCTCATGTAGTAGTTGTTGTTGTTGTCGGGTTGTAGGCGTTTGGTAAAAAGTCGCATGTTGCATATTAAATGTGCGCCAGAGCGCTTTGTTCGCTGCGTTTGTCATCATTGCCAGCTGAGGTGCACTGAGCCGTTTAAATGGTACTTGAAGCGAAATTAAATTATGACATGACTGGGAACTGAAATTGGCGAATTGTTACAAACGAGTGGAGATGCAGTTGCGGCTAACTGTGCCATGAGGTGAGCCGCAAATTGGAAACTGCAGTGGCGGCTTCAAAGAGTTTGTTGCCCTAAAAGGTGCTTCTGAAGCCAACCGGTTGCCAGCAGCTACCTCGTTAGCTTGTCTCAAAGCCTCGGCCAATTGCGCCAATTTAAAGAGTACACAGTGGGGGGCGCCCGCGGATCAGCTGAAGCATTGAGCAATACGCTGTTGCTGTTGAAGGCCGATTCTCGAATAGTAATGCGCTCGTAAAAATTCATGGCGCGCACGCATGCGCCACCAGCCGCTCTATTGGCCTGTCTATGGCAGATAAGCGTATAAGCTCATTAATATGGGTTTTCCTTATGGCCGTAGTGGAAGCGTCGCCTGAATCATGAATCATACTAATATATACGAATATATAATACGTATCTCCCCCACTTATATCATGGCACAAACAAAAAAGTATCGACCACAATATCAGCCAGTTAGACAGGCTTGCTAGCTGGTTGGCTACAACTTCCGTTTTGGCGCCTGCCTCACTTTTACTTTTGGACAATTGCACAAATGCATTCGCATGACATTTGTTGCACGCCAAATCGCACATTCAATGTCGCCGCCAGCCTTCGCCACATGGCACAGTGGGCCAGAATTGCCAAAAACTGAACAATATCTGTGGGTAACATTTTTGATCTGGAAATAGTTGGGCTATGCTTTGCCTGCATAGCGCGAATTACTGAGCAATTTTTGAAATTATTTAAAATTGTATCCAATTTGAGAAGTAAAATACATTACAATATCATTTTAATACAAGTACTACCCCATCGATTATGTAGGACTGTAAAATTTAAAAAAAATTTATATTTTTTCAAGCATAAAAAGGACATTAAGGACAAAAGACAACATTTGTATATATAGTGTGTATAATTATTATTAATTAAAATTTGATCCAATTTGAAAATTTGAAAAATACACTGCAGTATCATTTTAATACTACTCCATCGATTAGGTAGAATTGTAAAAGAAAAATGATATTTTTTCGAATTTATTCCGACCATTCGCACAATTCCGTACCAGTGTGCAGTGTCCCCCACTTATGCAATTAAATAAGCTTACTTCCATGGCAACAGCCTCGCCAAACCCGTTTCCTTTTCCCCCATATCGCGTACAAAATATACAACTGATCCTCTGTTTGCCTTGCAGCTGCACAAAATGCTGGCGCCGTAGCCGCTGCGGCTGTGGCGGCTGGCAGAAACCAGACGCAAGTCTATGTAACGGAATCTTGCCTGCAGAAGCCGTACCGGTGTCCGCATCCGAAGATACAGTTCTATCTGTACACACGTCGCACCCAGGAGCAGCCAGAATTCATCGATGTGCTGGACAGCAATGCGCTCTACTACACGCACTTCAATCCCCGCCACCCCACGAAGGTGATTATCCACGGCTTTGGGGGCGGACGCGCACTCAGTCCCAGTCCGGATATTCGGGAGGCGTACTTCAGCGTGGGCGAGTACAACATCATCATTGTGGACTACAGCGATGCCGTGAAGGAGCCCTGCCTGAGCCAGATGGAATGGGCGCCGCGCTTTGGCAGCCTCTGCATCTCCCAGCTGGTCAAATATCTGGCACGCCATCCACGCGGGGTGCAGCCAGATGACTTGCACTTCATTGGCTATAGTGTGGGGGCGCATATAGCCGGCTTGGTGGCCAACTACCTGAAGCCTGAGGAGGGCAAGTTGGGACGCATTACAGCGCTCGATCCGACCATATTTTTCTATGCAGGTACGAATAATTCGCGCGACTTGGACAGCAGCGACGCGCACTTCGTCGATGTGCTCCACACGGGCGCCGGCATACTGGGCCAGTGGCACTCCAGCGGCCATGCGGACTTCTATGTGAATGGAGGAACGCGTCAACCGGCCTGTGTGGGCTCGGCGACGCTTTTTCGTGAGTGCATTTGAGGCTTCTCTAAAAGCTCTTCTCTGAAAGCCTTTCATACTCTAGAAACCTTGGCCTGCGATCACACAAAGGTCACGCCATACTTCATTGAATCCATTACCACAACACGGGGCTTCTATGCGGGTCCTTGCGCCAATTTGTTCACCTATCTGATTGGCTGGTGCGAGCCCAAGGACTCGGAATATGTGCTGATGGGCGAGCATGTGTCGCACAAGTAAGCAACTGATCCTCCCTCCCTCTGCCCTTTGGAAACTATTTCTTTGATTTCTTTTTATTCTTGCAGAGCACGTGGAAACTACTATGTGACGACCAATGCAAAGGCGCCGTTCGCCCGCGGCTTTCCCGGCAAGGGTCGCTCCAATGGCGAGTACCAGGGCGTACGTAGATGAGCCCCACACATCCACATATAGCCGCATATCTATAGTTCTGATTGTGATTTTAGTTTTGCTTCCTACGTTGGCGAACTGTGTACTTGTGTACTATATTTGTATTTATTGGAATTGTTTTGTTAGTTTTATGGCTCTGCCTTCGAATTTGAAGCGTTTTGTACAAATTTTCTAATCATTAACATTTAAGACGAAAGCCCGGTGTTGTTTGCAGTAAAAGGCGAATGGCGGCGGCACATCTTTGGTATAATTTCAAAGTGTCTTTTATTGAATTCCAAATACATTTGTTAGGTATAGTTTGTTGGCTCTTTAGATATACGTACATACTCGTTTGAATGTTTTTAGTGCATATTGTAGTTCTTTGTTTGGGGCTTAAATGAGTTGGGGTTTCTGTTGGATTTACGTTTCTTCTACCCTTGCATTGAGTATATCATCGAACAGAATCATTTTGGAACAGCAGGAGATTACTCGTATTTGTGTAAATGCCGACAACTAAAGCGTTATTAAATACATTTTTTAAAATCAACATTTCATTGTGTCGTTATTTAAATTTTGATTTCTGATTTTCTTTGCTCAACTGTTAAATTTTTGCAATATTTTCTATACGTTCTCTTTAAATATATATTTATTTATAGGTGAGTTTATGTTTTTAACATACGTTGTGAATTATAACTTTTCAATTTTTTCTAGCATTATCATACAAATTATACAACATGGGCGGGTGTTGCCAGAAAAGGGGTCCAATAGTGCACTTAAGTTAAGAGAACACTCAATAAACATGAAGAATAATGTATATATGTTGAATTATTTCATTAAGTACGTATATACACTGTGTTTCAATAATAATTAATTTTACAAATCAATCAGCTTGCGGAATTTTATTGGGTTCTAGAGAAGAGGGGGAGAAATAATAATGCAAGTTCTATTTCAACCTGTTGTCCTTTACTAACGAGTTGGATTGAACATTATAATGCATAGACGTAAATATTTAGCTTTTTTCAAATTTAAATTTATGAATTTCGTGCAAACAATTTTGTTATCATTGTTGTGCTTAGCGACTATGTATAGTTCTTAAGTGCTCGGCAAGTGCGAATGTAGTTTATTTAGCCATAGATAAGTGCAATGAAATAATGCTGCTGACATGATTACAATATTATATGCAGTATTATGCCGTAAAATTTGTAAGTAATGATAATAATGAGCAATCCTTTGGATCGGTGTAGTTCTATTTCGTTTGGTTTCGTTTCATGTATGTACACTTATATTATTCACAAAAGCATTTATTGATGTCAATTAGTTAATATGTACACGCATGCTATCCATTCTTTGTTTCAATTAATTTGAAGTTGCTTAATTTGTTTGGGGATTATATGTTCTTTGGTTACTTGCTATATGTATATAGTATATGTGCGTTAATTTATAAGTATAGCTCTCGCTAAGGGCTTCGATTAAGTTAAACATAAAACACTGTGGCTTTTTGTTAACATCCTCTGTTATTATTGTCCACACAGCCATGAGAGCTTTGTGCGTCTCTCACTCCCGAAAAACATATTATAATTATACGATAAAGCCATCGTCTGGCAAATCAGACCATGAACACGTGCTTTGGCATCGTGGACATTGGCCCTTATTATCCTTAACAAAAAAACTGATAATTTAATTATAGTTTTTTGCAGCATTTGCTAATGGTATGCTCTCTTATATACAGAATGCTTTCGAATTATCCTAATATTACACATACGCCCCGCAGGCCAGACTCGTTTACAATTTCCTCTAAACGAACAGATATTCCTACTGTCTGTGTTACTTCAAATATTGTCGCTGGCACAAGCAGTTTTATAAGCATTGTCCATATCTTTGTTTTAATGAGCAAACACCTATTACATATATTCGATTACTTATATATACGAGCATATAGCACGCGTGTGTCTCGATCCATACTCGTTGTTGGCTTTCGGATTCGCACACAACACACTATATATACTCTTATATATTGAGACTACGATGTACATAGTGTTTAAAATGAATTAATTATCTGATTACCCTCTAGACTATTCCCATATAGCTATTCTTTATTGGCTGCGCTGTACAAATTACGATATAAGAATTGACTCTTTTAGTTAGAAAATGTTCACATTTTTTAATACATATTTTGTTTAATTGTGAATAACTTTGTAATACTTGTGGCTAGACAAATACATTTATATATATCATACAGTTTATCAATGTAGCTTTATAGTTTCTTTAATACATCCGCTTGCGCTCTATTCAAAAGTAACTGCGTCCAAATCAAAATTGTTCATATACAAATTACTGCTAAAGGAACAACTCGCAAGTAACTTAAAAATACAATAACAATAAAGCAATTTATAAACGAGTACTAATATTCACTTGAAATACACAAAAGGAAAACCTGTAAATAATATAACTAACTATATGCTTATTAATTGTCTTTAGTTATTATCCCTTACATCTATTTGTGTAATGGCTGACAACATTTATGGGGAACGAGCTTAAACTTTAAACAAAAAATCAAAAACTGAGCATGGTATGAAGAAGAACGATGTTAATCCTTAAAACTTTATGTTTAGCTATTTTGTTTTTGAATATTTTAAATTTAATATTACTTCTGTACAGTAAAATCTTTGCTCTTTTTTCTTATGTATGTTTATATTTGCATTATACTTGTAGTATTTATGTAGTGGCCGCAATTATAACTTTGCAGCAACTAGTTTATTGAATAATATATAGGAATACTTGAAATATGTGTGAGTGTTTTAACGTTAAGCTAATTTATTTATTGTGTGTTGACTTTCAATTCCACTTTCAAAATGCTACGAAGCTGAAAATTTCAAATATCAATTGCCTAACAAAATCGTTTAAATACTCTAACACTTGTTGGGAAAAAGATGGGATCCATCATGAACAAAAAATGCGTATATTTTTGAATTTAAATATTAAGACTTGAGAAATTCTGTAAGGTTTTATGTTTCTATTAATTAAAATATTTGTTTCTAAAGCAATTTATATGCAATTAATTCCATTTATGTCGACTTCGATTGCAAAAATGAATTGTAAAATGTACTTATTGTGGCATGAGCGTTTTATTTTGAAATGTGTCCCTACATCTAAATGGCGGCAGTTCTGTGCATTGATAGTGGTTGTATTTTAAAACCAAGAGCGGAGTTTAGTAGCTTAAAGTAAGGTTTCTTCAGCTTTTGATAAAATCTTAAACATGTTCCTTTGAAGTTGCAAATGTAAGCCAACACACAACCATTTTCGCATAAATTTTAACATATTCGTAGATTGGTAGAGCTTTCTGCTTAGTGGGAATAATCCGCACTAAGGAACCACCTCCTACCTGCCTAAGTCTGGTGATTATATACACACTATATAAGTAAGCAGTATATCTAAAATGGCCGAATGTAGATGCAAAAGTTTGAATATTCTGAACAGCTTATGAAGACCAATTCTGAGGTTATACGTATGCTTCTACGGCTAACTACCTACATGTAATACTTAAGTACTTAGGCATATCATTAATTTCATAATCGGACTCCAAATATTTGATTAACACTGCAAATTGCCGAACATCAACAATTGTCTATTGTTTGGGGGGGAATTTGATTAAAACGTACTTGTGTCTAGTCCTGTGCCTAGAGATAAATGATTATATTTGTAATTGTATGTTTGTATGTTTGTATGCTTGCATGTCTGTGTAGGTCTGTCTATTCAGAACTGATTGCTGTCATACACATATAGTAATATCTTCAACGGTAATAAAACTTGGCTTACTTAACATTTTCTCAATAGATAGTAGCTTATAGATTTATATAGTTTTTCTTTATAATTTACATTTAATGCTTTTGATGTTTGAGACGTGGTGCATGTCTGGATTATGTCGAGATGATATACACAGTTATGCTCGCTATGCTATGGTCAAACAGCCAAATAATCTGCACACAAATTCCCCAAACTCCTTCAAGCAGACCATGAAAGATAAATCTAAAACGGCACTAGAATATAATGATTACAAATTTATTAAAATTAACTCCATGAGAGCCTTTTAAATTCGTTGAGTGTTGAGTGCGCAAACTATCTGCATGTCTGACCACGGTTTTCTTATTGAACTTGCAACTAGAGTTGAGCCTCATATTTGTACATACTCGGATATATGCATGTATACTCACTGTATTTAACCTTTGGGTCGTCTTGCCATGTTGGAGTAGTAAGTATCGTATGATTCGTAGTACACGTATATGTATGCGTTCATTTTGTTCCATTTAAGGTACATAGTTTCAATGTGTTAGTGTGTTTTGTAAATTGATGAATGCTGCGTTGAAATTCGATTAACTGGCCCTACTTGCCAATAGTAAGGAGTTTCGTTTTGAACATGTTCATGGTCTTTCATGTATATGTGTTTATAGTTACCCATATTTTATATATATAGTATATACAATAACAATAAAGAATGAAAACTTTAACGGCACATCAAGAACAAACAATTCGAACTACAACTAAAAGGTATGATATTTCGGTTATTTTGCAACTCCGCTCACTCCTGTTTGTAGGACTGTCGTTCGTAGGGATTAGTAGGCTCCGCTGTCGATTGCGCAAAGTCATATCCGTAGCCGGTGTTGGCATTATCCGTGTACGGCTGAACAGGTTCCTCGACTATGGGTGCACTGGCAGTCATGGCGAAGGGATTGTTCGCGACATGGCCCGTGGCGCCGTAGCTAATGGCATTCGATTGTTGCATTTGACTCTGTTCGTTGTACGCGGGAGGGGGAGTGCCCTAGTAAAAGGAAATGGGTTAAAAGTTGAATTTAAATGAACTCAGATAGGCAATAAACCAGAATAAAGCTATCTGTCTACTCACAAATGAGGTCTCTTTCATGTAGGCGCCCAGCATGCCCGCTTGGCTGGGATCGTCGTTGGTAATGGCGCCCACCGGTGGCGCCCACACCTGCTTCTCTTCGGCCGGAGGCTCCGCCCAGGGCTGCAGCTCACCGGAGGCGAAAATGCCGTAGAAAGTGCAGCCAATCAGATGAACACAGGCAGCCAGGGTGAAGACGGTGGTCCAGCAGCCATGTGGCTGCAAGAACAAACAATTTGCAATCTACAACTATAAACAATCGCACTCTCCACTTACATCCCGCTGGATGAGTCCGTCCAACGCGTAGGGTACAATAATGCCCGCCAATGTGCCAATGCCATTGGACAAGCCCATTAAAATACTGGCATATCGCGGCGCTATATCCAAGTGATTGACATTATAACCCGAAATGGCAAACCCGCTGAAGGCCACGCCGCAGGTAAGCGCGAACATTGCGCCGGTCTATGGAACAATTAGTTCATTAAATAAGTTTAATTAATATCGCGGCCCACTTACCGACGTGTCCGAGTGCGCCACAAATAGAAAGAAGAGACCTTCCATGCCGAACCCGCCGCAGTTGAAGAGCTTGCGCACATTCGTGGTGGACAAGATGCCGTTCTTGCGAATATAATCGGCCAACATGCCACCGAAGGGCACAATGGTGGTCATAATTAAGTGAGGTAGGGAGCCCACGAAGCCCGCCTCCTCCACCTTAAAGCCGAACTTGTGCTTCAGAAAGGACGACTGAAAGAGCACCAGCAGATAAAAGTTCCACGAGCGACAGAAGTTGGCCACAATAATGGCGTGGACAGGCATCGATCGAAATATCTCCCTCCAGGGTGTTGTCTTCAAAGAAGGCATTGTGGGATGCGCGGACTCGCCCAACGATTTCTCAATGTACTTCAGCTCCGGTATGCTGATGGCGGGATGTTTGCGCGGATTCTCGAAACAGAGCCAGTTCCAGAAAAGAAACCAAACGACTCCGAATATTCCATAGACATAAAACGGCGCCCTATAGCTTATGTTGTCCGCCAGCAGTCCAGAGAGAGGCAAACCGACGACGACGCCTGCATAGGAACCGGAAAAGGCCAGCGTGGCCAGACGAGAACGTTCCATGGGAGGCGCCCAAAAACGCCAGATGCCGTGGCAAGCCGGATAGGTTACGCCCTGCGGGGTAAATGAAATGTGTTTAAATTAATAAAAAGCTAGCAGAATGGAGTGTTCAAAGGTCAGCTTCCATGATGCGCATCTAAGGGAAAATTTATATCGGCATTTCTTCAAAACATTCGAGTCTTTGATTCTATACATAACGTAGTTAGATAACCAATATATATTTCTATTTATATATTCAAAGAGACTCGTTTTAAGAAAGCTAACAAGAGTATTAGCAAAGCATAGCTTTCATCAGCCTGATGGACTTGGCTAAATGGAGACTACCCTTTGAAGCTACTTGGAGATTCCATTTCTGAATAAACTATCTAACTACTTGTATGTAGCTCATCTATAGATTTAAAAACTTTGATATCCATTGAAGCAGACTCTCTTAAATAAACTACATTTGTATTACTCGTATGCTGAAAGGGCAAAGGAAGGGATAATAGACTGAAGGCAAAACGGCAGCCAACACACACACAAAGAAATTGCATTAAAATAAATGCTTTTGTTGTTTTGCTCGCCCCTTGCCAAGCACGCACAGATTACAGCATGTTGACATTTCACATATTTGCTTTATCATAAAGGAAAACGCCCCCAGAAAGGGCTCTCCATTCATCCCCAACCCACTCCCTTTCGCGTTGCTCGATGAAGCAAGCGGCAAAAAAAGCTCACGCATGACATCAGTCAGCATCGCGTAATCCTTGAGACGCTCCGCTTCCTAATGCTTTGATCCAAATCCAAATCGAATTTCCTTACCTCACACAGTCCCTGGACCACGCGCACCATTATAACCACATGGCCATGGGCCAGCGTCATCGCGTAGGGCACAAAGAGATGTAATACTGCCGAGCAGAAAATCGAGAGTCCGAAAATCTTGTTGGCCGGAAACTTGGATGCAATGAAGCCGCCGGGTATTTGCGTAATCAGATAGCCCCAGAAGAACGACGAGTCCACATGGCTCTCCACAGCAACAGTCCAGTTCATGAAAACGGTCTGAAATCATCACAAGCACAAATCATTAGAGAGAGAGGGAGAGGGAGAGGGGGAGAGAGCAGCGATACAGTGAACAATCAAAGCGCCGCAGGCTCTTTTTAACGAGCGTCTCGACTGCACGCTCCACCACAAAGCGGCACGCCCCTCACGCCCCCTTCAAAATGGCACTGACTCTTGAGAACGTGACACTCGCACACTAATTGACAGCGCACTGTCAAAAAGCCAAATATGAAATGTAAGCGCACAAATATCAATCAAAAGGACCCATTATGGAATTATATATATAGGAGTGCCAACATTATTTCAAATTTTACTTTTCAGCTATAATGACTAGAGCTTAAATCTCGCTTGGCACCGCGATGAAGAAACTTAATGCCCGACTTCTTTGTATTACTAGGAGTCCTCTTTTTAGTGTAGCTTGAGAAAGTTTGGAAAAAAAGGCCGGATCTATTGATGGACATAGGAAAGTCTTATTAACTTTCTGTTTGTTTTACTTTAAAGAAATCTAAAATGTAAAATTTGAAAATTAATGACACGTACAGTTTCTTTTCAGCCACAAACTAATCAACGGGAGATACTTTTTTGGCATATTCTAAAAAAAACATTTGAAGGAAGCTGATGTGCTGATAGACCTCCTTTTTTTAGTTTTCTCTTGAGCTTGAGAAAGCTTGAAAAAATAAGCACGATCTATTGATGGACATAGGAAAGTCTTATTAGCTTTTTTTAGTTTTCTCTGGCCTCTTGAGCTTGAGAAAGCTTGAAAAAATAAGCACGATCTATTGATGGACAGTCATATTGGCTCCCTGTTTGCTTTACTTTAAAGAAATCTAAAATGTAAAATTTGAAAATGAATAGAACGTACAGTTTCTTTTCAGCCACAAGCGAGCCAACAGAAGATACCTTTTTGGCATATTCTAAAAAAAACTATCAAGGAACTTGCGGATAAACCTCCTTTTTTAGTTTTCTCTAGTCCCTTGAGAAAGCTTGGAAAAATAAGCAGGATCTATTGATGGTCATATGAAAGTTTTAGCTTTCTGTTTGCTTTACTTTAAAGAAATCTAAAATATAAAATTTGAAAATGAATAGCACGTACAGATTATTTTCAGCCACAAACGAGCCAACAGAAGATACCTTTCTGGCATATTCTAAAAAAAAACTATGAAGTATGATAGTTTTTTTTAGCTTTCTCTGGACCCTACCAAAGATAAACTCTTTAAATTTGGTAAAAAACGTTTAGTGTAAATTATTTTGAAAGAACCAAAATAAGTTATTTTATAAAGAGCTGGCTTGGTCTTTGGTTGTGTGGAGTAGCTCTACCTATGAGCTCTCTTTAGTTGTCTACTTACACCATTGTGCTCACCCTTGAGCTTCGCTGCTGACATATTGCAGCGCATGCCGAACGCAATCATGAATCCTACGCAGGCCATTGTGGCGATGGTGTAGCGGGCGGGCATGCAGGGACATTCGGGCTTGCAGTATTTGTCGATTTTTCGCAGCGGCGGACGTTCGATTTCCTCGAAGGAGGCCGGTGAGTCGGGCCGGTCGTCGTCGTAGGCATGTCCGCCACCGGGTCCGGTGCCCTCGCGGTCGCCGCCCTCCATTTCCTCGTAGCCACCATGACCGCCATGATAGCTCTGGGATATTTCGAATTTCTCAATATTCGGTTTCAAGCTGCAACGAGAATGGTGGAGAGGGGGAAACATATTTCATACCAATTAAGTGACAGACGAGTATTGGGGACCTGTTGCTATTTCGCAGTCAGAGGCGTGAAAACACAAATATTTTTATGTTGTTGAAACAACAACAAGACTCTGAACACAACCGGGGTAGTTGTTGTTTTCCCAAAGGCATTGCGGTGTTGGTGGTGGTGGTGGTGGCAACGATGCTGCTCTGCTGGTGCGGACTGCGGACTGCGGACTGGGGTGTCCAATTGAAATGGAATTCAATTTTATTAAGTGCTGATATCTTGGTTGCCCGCTCTTTGTCCCCGGAACCATTTAAAGCTGACTTGTTGATGTGCTACCTGTTCGAGTTTTTTCGACTTTTGTGATTTGATTGCTTTCCTGTGCGGCTTCCCAATCAATCGCTTGGCTTAACTACAGTAAAAGGCGATGTCAAAGCTGATTGATGACAGCCACATACCCTAGCCTCAGAGAGCGACCTATACCCTCTCCGCCCATTAGCCCCGTCTAAGTGACGCATCAGCAGTGATAAGCTCATCAGGCAAGCTACTCCGAAACTTGACTAACTTTGCGCATTTTTCTTCATAAATATATACAGACAATCAGCCCGAAAGTATGCAATACAAACTAATAAGCAGACCAGCCACTATAGCAGCAGCATCAGAGTCCAACTAGCTGACGTCGTCGTCGTCGTCGTCGTCGGCGTTGTCTCATAACTCAAATGTCTGTCGCCAAAGCTACCCCCGTCTGGTCACGCACTCTGGCATCATCTTCATCGCCCCCTTCGTCCTTGTTCCTTGCGCCTTGACCGACTTTAATGCCGGCATGTCTGACGCCAATTTTATGCGCCACTTTTTTCTACCAGATTCCGCATATACTTGTAGTTGTTGCTGCAGTTGCCGCAATGGAACTATAAACGCGACTTTTTCAGCCACTTGTTTTGCGCGTTTATCTCTCCGTAAAAATTTCCCAGACTTTTTGGCGGCACATACATTATAGCTAACTGGCGCCACTGTCGTTCATGCCACCGATGTTGCTCTTGTCGGCTATCGACGATTCATACAGTGGCCCAAAGAATAAAACCGTCTAATGTTTTAAAGAGACTTTTGCCTTCTTAAATATAAGTGGATTTCCAGAAACTTTATGCATCAATAGCAACAGAAAATATTAGATGCACATTTTTAAGTATATGAAAGACTTCCTTTTGAATTAAAGCATCAGTTAAAATTTAAAGTCATCAAACGACAGTTCAGTTCATGGACATGTATATTTCTTTATTTTATTTATTTATTTTCATAATAGTTGTTTAATTCCACATTGAATTTTCTGCTACAACTTCTCATCACTCCTCTCATCACTTCTAATAGCACTGCTCGACTTTTGACTTTTCAGCTGTGTCGCTTGAAGATCTTTTTGATACTCGGGAGAATATAGTTTGGCGACTCTAGCCTCTTAAATTTGCTTTAATTATTTTTTCGAACACTTTTCAAAATACAGACTTAATTATTTGATTCTAGACATATAAATGCCAATGAAATATTTATGAAAATTGAACAGAAATCTTTTCATTTTATTTCTTCAAAAAATTATATTTCTCTTTATTCTTAAATAGGTGAAAAGTATTCGTTCTGGAAACATAAGAAGTCTAGGAAATATACTGACATCTGCTAAGAGTCTTTAAAACTACTTATTGATTACAAAATAGAATAAAAAAGAGTACAACGTTTTGTAAATTTGGGCAACAAAATATCTGAAATCTACCACAGTATGTCGCGTATTATGCTTGGCTTGCGATGAGTAAGCAAACTTCAATACTTTGGCTTTAATTTGGCCACAAAGACATGCTATTTGGCAGACATTAGATTTAATGTGCACATTATGTGCTTGCTTTGGTAGCGCCAACTTGTCAACAACAACATCATTATCAAGAGCAGCACCAACTCCAGCAGCAGCAGGCACGAAGGAAGACAGCCAGCAAGGACACTTCACGCGCCTGACAATTCTAATTTCAATTTCGCGTTGCGTTGCGTTGGCGGCAACAACAATGGCCAAGCACGCAGGCAGGCAGGCAGGATGGCAGGCCAGCTATGTTTCACGCATTTCAATTTCATTGCTTGACGATGACTTTCGTCTTCGTTTGCACCGACTCCGGCCTCGAGTGCCACTTGAGCACTTCAACACTTCAACTACAGTTGAGCCTGCTGGCGTGGCAACACGGGATGGCATGAATACTCGTAAAAATCAATTTAATTTGCCTGCAGCCTTTGAATTTGAAGCAGCCGCCTGTTGGTATGCAACACTTTTTTCCACACACACGCATTCCTTAATGAAAGTAAAGCTCAATATATTTCACCTATTGTTCCACTTTCTAATTCACTCACACACCCACACACACATACACACACATGGGGGCGCACACGGAAAATCAGTTGTGAAATCGTTTTGAGAAACTTCAATTGTCCTTCTGACGTGCTCATAAAATTGCATGCCAAAGATTCACTTGTTTGCCAATATATGGGCACGACTATGAGGCATTTATTGTATTGTTATTGCGAGTGTGTGCTCATGGGCGCATGTGTGTGAGTGGGTGTGTGTGTGTGTGTGTGTGTGTGTGTAGCACTTCATGAGACCATTTCCGTGCGCGCACGTGCTAGAAACGTGCACGGAATTCCTGACACGCCGGTCGAATGCCAACGCGTTCGTTGTCACCATCAACTGGACCGGCTCCTGTCTGGCTGCCTCTCGCAAACAGGGTGATCGACACGCTTTTGCTGTAAGCAAACTATTTAAAGAACTTCCTCGACTACAGATCAGTAATCTGTACAAAAGCAAAGGGCGGCACTATTTTCATTTACCGGTCAATTAACTATTCACATGAATTTTTAATGAATTTTATTTGTGCATCTTATACGCCGAAGTTCCCAGAATGGAATCAACGAAACCAAAATAGAAAATGGATACATAAACATTGTTTAAGATATCAGCCACCTTAGTTGCTTTTTAGCATTTGCCCAACAACAAATATATTTTTTCCTTTTGTGAATTTCTGGTTATTAATTTGTTATGGGAAAACAAATTTCCCAACATTTCCAATAAGCCTAGGCTTGAAAAAGTCTGACCAATACTTTAAGTATTACAACATTCATATTAAGTTTTTCTTTTCAAAAACTGTTAGAACGATCCCTCAATTTTTTTAAGGCAACGAATAAGAAAATAATTGGAAATCTTTCTTAGAATCTTCAAGAAAAATTCCTTTACTGTGACAATTTTTGTAATATCCAAAATTTTAATAGGCATAAAATTATTAAATTCTTGATTCCTAGTTAGAAGGCTTTTTTATAACCCTTATATTATTTTTCCTATGTCGAGGTTCTACATTTGTCGGCATAAAATCAGATAAATTAAAATAAAGAAAGCTATACAAAGAAAATAGTAACATACTTTTACTTGCTGAGCCGCTGAATTTGAATTTAATATACAAAGCTGCCTGACATATTTATTACTATTTCATCTTTTTAAATTAATGGTAAAATGATAATATTTATGTTTTAATTCTTTTGATTGCTACTAAAAAATACATATGTATATAACGAAAAAGAAAAAGAGCATAAAAGGCAATCAATTGTAATTGTAATTGTAATTTTAAAAGAACATTTTGCAAATCAATTTTTTGTCCACCTTCCAACTTCTTTCTACAAATAAGCCACAACTGCAACTCCATTACAACAATAAAGTGCTGGCTTATGTTGGATTTTAGAAAAAAGTCACCCTGCTGGCAACTTAGATGGAGTAGAAGGCAGGGTCGTCAAAAGGTAGCGCCATTAATGACTTGTTAAGCATGCCAATAATTTTACAACTTTCCGTCGCAAGTGCAGGCGGAGGCACGTGCCCAACTTTCGCGACACCGGAATTGGGTTTAATGCAACGCGTGACGTGGAAGGGAATGGTCACCCCGAAGAACGAAGGAGAAAGAAGAAGAAGAAGAGGATGATGATGGAAGCAGGAAGTGATGCGCAGCGTCCAGTGTTGCGTTAAATTAAATTTTTGGCGGCTTTTCGTGCACTGATTGCAATCATATTTCAAAAATGTATATTGTCTATCGTATTCGTTCTGGTTAGACGGCTTCGACTCACCCGCTAAAAACGCCCGCCGCCTTCTCCTTAAACGCCGTCAAGCCCTTCATGTTGCACGCCTCCTGCCGTTGGTCCTTGTTGAGTTTACTGCCTGACTTTGCTTGTGCGCCCTGCGTCCCTGTTATCACTTGTGCGCATAAATACTAAATTGTGTTGCCAACTTCACGGCGCTTTGTACATATAATGCAGGCGTAACGAATCCACGGGCAGCTAATTTACGACTTTACGACTCAATCTGGTTGGCTGCTGAATGTGCTTCTATGTGCGACGACTTTCACTTGGCCGCCATTATAATTTGTTGCTGTTGCTGTTGCTGTTTTCCCGTGAAAATCGTTCCAAAAGCTGCCGTGTTTCAGTTCTGGAGTGCCTGTAAGAGTTTATTTGCAAAGTTAGAATCGTACACACACACATACACGGGTGAGGGGGGAAAAGGGGACGAGTCTGTTTATGTTCGGCTGCTGATAAGCGAAATGCTACAACATTTCATAATTTGTTACATTTGTCGGTATGTGGGAACGATGATGATTGTGGGTTGCAGCGGCATGCCAATTGTTAATCGGCTTATGTTCATAAATTCTAGTAGAAGTTTGCGGGAGACTTTCAATTGCTGGCCAGCTTTTTATTAGTGAAGGAGTGGTGGGTGGTGGAAGAATGGAAAGGAAGTAGTATATAGAAAATAATACTAGAAATATCAAATTTAACGCAGATTAAAAAAGGCGTACCCTTTTTTAGTTGTTAAAGAACAAAACAACCAAAGTATGCTCGAAAAGTGAATTTTTGTTCAAATTCCAGCTTGATTTTTTAATTTCTATTCAATCAGCCGGGTCAGTCATTTTCTGTGAAAGAACTTAGGAGCATTTTTAGAATTAAGAAAAGAGCAAGCAAAGATTTTTCCGAACTATATCACTTTTTTTTTTAATATGTGATGATCCCTAAGACAGATTTGACGCAAAAAAAAAAAGAAAATACCAAATGAAAACTTATATTTTTATATTGCTTCAAAATAGAACATGTTAAGTTTTCTTGTATTGAATTCTTTTATAACAAATATGTGGGGTTATCATCAGTGGTTCAATCTTAATATCTCTTGAAACACTCCATAAAAATGGTAACATTCGCAGTTCAAGTTTATTTCAAATAATTTCGGAATGTTTCTTCATAAATTAAGTGGAACTGGAATAATTTGCGTAAAATAACATAAAACTTTTGGGGATCACTTTTATGTTTTATTGAACCTTTTTAAACAAATTTATTGAAATAAAAAAGTGTAGGAATGAGAATTTAATCAGTTAAGTTTAATTAAATTTCATTCACTGGCTGACATTCAAAATATTGAAACTATTGCTGGCGTTCATAGAAAACAGTTTCAGAGAACAACAAATGAAGAAAGAAATGAAGGTCATAAATTAAATTCGCATTTGATTTTTAAACTTAATGGCAAAATGTGAAGAAAATTCTGCTAATAATATATATTTTATCCCTATTCTAGAAACAGGAATGTAGTATAGAGCATTTTCAAATATAAATAAAGGACATTGTGTTTTATTTGTTGTGCAGATTTTTCTTGCATTTACAAAAATCGTTTGCTGGGAATTTCTGAGAAAGAAAATGAAGATCATAAATATTGCATTTACACATTTCATTTTTAAACTTAATACAGAAATTGTCAAAATATCTAGAAAATTCTGCTAATAATATATACTTTAACCATAGAGCATTTTCAAATATAAATAAAGGACATTGTGTTTTATTTGTTGTGCAGATTTTTCTTGCATTTACAAAAATCGTTTGCTGGGAATTACTGAGAAAGAAAATGAAGATCATAAATATTGCATTTACACATTTCATTTTTAAACTTAATACAGAAATTGTCAAAATATCTAGAAAATTCTGCTTATAATATATACTTTAACCAAAAATAGTTGAGTTAGAATTCATTTAAGTGTACAATTGAAAGGATAGGATTAGTTTTTAGAAGTGCCATGTTTTAATATAAACGAGAATACTCTAAAATATATAATGTATTTAAACCATTACAGTTTCTACCATAAATATATAAAATAGGCTTTACAACTGCAGGTTTCTATGAGCTCTGAAATTTATGATTACATAACGTATGTATATATAGTACTATATTAGTTAACAATAATTGTCACAGAAATAAAATATACATGTGTGGTGGGTATAGTTTTGTTTTGTTTTATTTGCGTGCTTTTGGATTTGGCTCGCATGTGATTTTCTTTGCATTCTTCTTCTTCGCAACTTACAGTGTTCACAAGTGTTACGTAATCCATATTTTTGTTTGCCGATTATCGAAACGAGCTGCTCAGCACCTTGAAATGAATGATGCGGCGCGATAGTTGTTTGGTTGTGGTTTTTGTTATATAATAATTTGGAAATTTGACTAAATTAATTATATTTTAATTTTTAAAATAATTTCTTGATATCACAAATAAGGTACACAGATAGGAGATTTTGTTCAATCACGACACTTAGGACACAAAAGAACGAACCAAACATTATGTAACGCGTTGAAATGTGAACTTTCGCACATTTTCTATGCAACACACGCCCGTGTTTGTAAAGCAACGAAAATTCGAAGACATTAGGTAGTTAATTGAAAAGTAATTATAAACTGAAAGTGGGCCAAGTTGTTGGCTGGCGAGACAACATTCAGACAGAGCTGACTGCGACGACGAGCCTGGCGAGAACGCGACGGCGCCCAGGCGATCCGAATTCAACTCTGTCTGAAGACTGTATGGCAGTCAGGTTAGACGCAGCCCTGACGTGGACCTATCTGCGGACGAGGATCGGACATGGCAACTGTTTCGTTTCACCCCAAAAGGAATGGAAGGAGAGCTGGCAGTGCGAGAATGCGACGGGCCGATGAGCTGTTGCAACTATCTCGGTCGCATATAGAGGCTTCTCTGGAAAGTATATAGCCAAAACCCGCTACCCACACCCCAAGCGAGGGGTGTTGAGTATATAGACTGGAAAATTTTCGACTACTGACTGCCCACGCTTTGATTTTTCTTCCTCAAGGGTATATATTCAGAGCCACGTAGCTCAGAACAACCTCGCTGGACGCGCTGGCTAATTGTTTGTTAAATGATTGAACCGATTTCAATTATTATTCATAAATTTATGCATTGTTTTATTGCACCGAATACACTATATATTGAGATATATATCTATAGACCACTGGCCACACGGCCACCAACATTACAGCGCTCGCTCGCTCGGCCTCAGCAGGACAACGCACGAAGTGAAACTAAAGCCAGCCAGCAGCATGTGCCCTTCTTGTCTGGCCAGCCATAGAGCGCCTAGGACTAAATTATGCTGCGGCAACATAATCCTCGTGCCGACTCGCTCCGTTCCATGGCCACCGCACAGGATGGCGCTAGTATGGTGAAAAGCTCTGTGAGGCGCTCTGCGCAGGCGCCAACTGCCTCAGCCTTGAGGATGTGCAGGAATTTGGAAGCAGCATTGGTCGAGGGATGTTCGCAACTGTAGCGATTTCCGTGGGTGTTGCGCCAACCTCTGGGTGTGGGCGCGCCACCTGTCCAGCGGCCACCAATCAGCGCGAACCACTGCCCCCACACAACTCTCTGTGTACCGCAGATTCTCGTACATACACATAAGTGCTTACACACAGTGCATATCCTTGAAACGAACAAAAAGTGTTCAGACAAAACTGATGCAGGCTATAGTTTTATTTTAGCTATACATTTCCATTGAAAATCCGAACCAATTCCAATTTCTTTTCAAGTTCTCGGTGGGGCAAAGGATAACATCGACATTTTATTTCGATTCTGCGAAAAACATTGTGTTTTTCAACTAAAAAGCTAAGTCGAGCTCGATTTTATACGCATCTTGCTTTTTGTAAGTTCTATAAATTTGCAACAGTTCTGTTAATTCTTTTCTTTCACCTTTACATTTAGAAGTCAGATGTTGAACTTAATATAAAACTTATTAATGTTTTATTGCATTTGCAAGTCACAAACATAAGTTATATTCGAAGATAGAATGCATGCATACATTCCTACTAAATCACTCTGAATTGAAAAGCAGTACATATGTAAATATTTCATTCTTAATTCAATTACATTCATTGAGTCAGTAACTTCATCTCTGGAGATTTTTGTTTACCAATTTCCAATTAGTTTATCGGCTATTTATTCTGAAAAAATTCCATGAAACGTTTACTTTCGAGACCATTGGAAAAATGTGCTTAAATGAAATTAATTGCAGTCAAAGGCTTGCTCCTTTTTAAAATTCTCGGCACTGTTAAATTAATTATACCAACATCAGTTCGATTATTGGTGATAAACGGGAGGATTGCAATCCGCAAGAGAATGAAAAAATTGCTCCTTAATTTACAAAAGCAAACTTCACATTGGAGTCAGCATAAGCAATTAACACTGTACATTCATAAATGCCACATAGTGGGTATTGGGGGCAAATAGCGGGTAGGACACTTCATGTCCTCACGCTGTATGCCAACAATGTGAATCTCGGCCGTGCGTGAAACGTTATAAACACGTTGCCAGGAGATGGTTTTCCATTGTCTTGCTCCTCCGCCATAGCATACTTATATGGGCGTCTGCATTCCGTCTATATGTATGTGCTTATGTGAGTTTATGCGAGTTTGCTGGATGGTTGGCTGGCTGCCTGCCTGCCTCTGTACATAGCCAAAATGTCAGCCATTTTGAATATTTGCTTTGTTTGTTTTGAAATGCCTGCATTGTGGCCTCGTGTGGGAATAAGGTGGGCGGCAGTTCGATGCCAACTTCCCGATTTTTACATGCAATTTATGATGCGCAATATATTAATTCATTGGCAATCATTGTTGCTCCTATTGATTGAGAAATATTTCAGCAGTCAATATAAACGATGGCCTGTCAAAGCTAAAAACCTTAAATAAGTACTGCATTCAACAACTATTCTTTTGAGCTAATTTCATGCGTGTATGTTTACAATTCATTAACCAGCATTATATCGAGAAAAATAAGGAAATATACATTTCGGCTGCCATCTATCGCATAACTTATAAATATACTCGTTTTTTTTTTTGGATTTAACCTGTTCGAATGTAAAATATAAAAAATATATAAAATACTTAGACACAAAAGTTGACTAGAATAAATGTTGGAAAATATTAACACAAACTAAATGTTCTTATGGTTTGAAAAAAAAAACATTTATATTTATTTAGTAGCACTATATGCTTTCAGTTTGTAAGCGTTACTAAACAATGATATGGTTTTCAAATATAAAATGCTTTATTTCAAAACTGTCCTGAATTGAACAATTATCAAATGTTCTCAATTAAACCTTGAAAATAACCACACAAATATATTAATGCGATATGGTTTTCAAATATTAAGTGCTTTTAAACTTTTAAAAAGTTTGCTGGCCGTTGTCAGGCAAGTTTATGGTCAGAATGCAGTTGCGGACTTATATAATTGTCAATTAAGACAAGTAGCAAACAAATGGAGCATTGTAAGAAATTAATCAAAACATACAACTATGTGAGAAATTAAAATAAAAAATGTAACTAATAATTGCTTTGGTTCACCATTTTTTACTGTTGCATTTTTGATTTTTTTGATCATTCTTTTCTGTTCATTTTCATTTTCCATGTACTTTTTAATAATGATAGAAAGAGGCATCGATGATCAGCAGAAATGAGTCCAGCAGTCGTAAACGAGAAATCGTGTTAGTCAGCCGTCTCGAACAATAAGTAATCCAATAACTTTTGGTAACTAATATATTGAATTTCTGTTTAAAATTCTTTTAATATCATTAAATATACTGTTATGAATAAACCCGCAAATATTTGGTATCTAAAAAACGTTGAAAATAAGTATTAAGTGTTTTTATTACTCTTGTATTTTAGATTTTCTTTTCGTTACATTTAAAAAATTTAAAATTAATTACCGGCTCTTACTATATTTGCCTGTGAATGAAATGAAAAATAAAATTCGCAGAAGCTGTTGAATTAATTAACTTGGGATTTTTGTTATATTAATAGCAGCAAGTCTTTTTTTCCTATAAATATTGCAATCAACAAATAATTTAAATGTGCATCTTAACTAACGATGTTTCCATTTTTGTGATTCGCAAACGACGCCCTTTATGGTGACAGACTGGCTGTCTAAGGAAAGTAGCATAAGAACAGCTCCTTGATATTCGTAGCTAGAAACACATACAGGAAGAGAAAGTCATACAATATTTCACATATTTCCCAAAGATATACATTCATTTATAATTTTTGTCTCTACACGCATTTAAGTGCCTTTATATTTGGAAGAATCTCTATGCATAATCTATACAAAGCAATGCCCACCACTCTGTAATCCGGCCGCGTCAGCAGGACATTGCTTAGGGATCGTTGCTAACCCTCATAAGCATAAAGCAAACAGTTCCAACTCAGCTAAAAGCCATAATAAAGTTGCGGAAGTAAACAGCAAAGCGAAATAAACAAGAAGCAGCAGCACCAGAAGCAACAACAACAAAAAATTGAAATGAAATAAAATTCAACAAAACAGCAAGCATAGCCGCAAAGGATTTTATTTTTTTTCTCCATTCAACATCGAAAAGGTTACATGACAAGGCGAAGCCCAACGAGATACAGAGCGACAGACGGGTGGACAGACACTGCCACAGACAAGCCGGCGACGACAACCACTGGCGCTCTCTCTCTCTCTCTGTCGGTATTAAATTTCAAGATTTTCCGCGCTAGTCCCTTTATTATTTAAACCAAACGATTAAGGGTGCAACCAAAAATCGCAATGATTGACACAAATGAAGAATAATCGAATTGCGCTCATAAAACTGAAAAACTAAGTGACTCCCAAAGCCGTTGCCATCAACAGTGTCATCCTCATCCTCATCTTCATTTCCATCACCATCTCCATCGTCAACGCCCTCATAAATCGTGCGAAAAAAGTGTCAAACTTGAGTTGACAGCCCGACGCGATGTTTCGTTGCCTCGAGGCTGTTGTTGTTGTTGTTGTTCTTATTGTTGTTTTTGTTGTTGTTGTCATCAACGGACACAGTCCCGGCTGTGCGCACGTCAGCGTTAATTAGTGAGTGCATCAGGAAGTCAGCTTGAGTTTCAGTCGCTTTGTTTCATTTTTCCAGTGTGATTATCACTCCGCCAGGCCGCCATCGTTCTACTTATTTTCATCTCTGCACTAATTACAAAATAACTTTTGCAGCATTTTTCGCGCAGAGTTGGGTTTGGAGGCGTTGTCATTTGCTGGGACTCCCCATGGTCTCTATATGATGTATGGCTTTTCGTTGCGTGATTTACGGAGCGGGTTGGCGCTCACGGATTACTGACAGCAAAGGGTTTCGGCTTACAAGCGCTTTTAATTACACAAATGCGCGCGGCTTTAAAGTTCAGTTTCTTGTGGTTTCCCAAAAGTGTGCTGCGCTCTTCACTCAATCCATCGATATCACCTCCCATACACACTATATACGAGTATGTTTCTATATATGTGAGTCTGTTGATTTAGCAGATTCATGCTGTCAATCCACACATCCACCCACTCAATCACAAACTAAACGCTGCGCTTCTCGATAAGCGTGCAATGTAAGCCGAAACCTGTCCTGCCGAGCTGGGGAGCTAGTAAGCGGGTGAGAGGCTTAGGGTGCTCCTTTCCTTTCCTTGCCTTGCCTTGCCTTGTTGCTGCGTGTGCACAAAACGATTTCGT